TACAACTTCGTGACCTACAGTAGCATGTTGATGTGGTCATGAGTGACATTTGAAGGAACTCTAAAATGTGCCTTGGAGAGGAGAAGAGTATCCCATTTCACATCGGCTGTGGGGGTGATGGACCGGAGGTGTGATCACAGCTCTGTCAGGATTTTTTAAAAATTTAGATCTCCACACTTTGAAGCACAGAGACTGCAGATTCCAGTTTTGAGGAACGCCCTGGTACAAGTCATTTTATCTGCTGTGTTGATCTTCCATCCATACTGTATGACTTCTGCTAACGGAGAGCTCGGAGCTCATCACTGTGTCCTGTAGGAATAAGTGTTGGTGACATGATTATTATCACCTCAGTGTTTTGTAACGTGGACTGACATGTAAGCAGACATTGGTCATATGTAGGAGGTTGTTTCTCCGTTGCATCCATCTGTTGAATCATGACAAGAATGATTCTGACAATAAACAGTTTACAAGGTTGTGTCTGTCTGTGCTCATCTTTTCAGAGAAACATTTTATTGTCATATATTATCATTGTTATTAAAAGAAAACTTCACCCCCAGATGATGCGCTGCATATCAGTTACTCACCCCGTGTTACGTCGAATTCATGAAGGAAATCTTGAAGTAAAAGGGGTCCACAGCCGACAACAGCAAAACTATATCAAAGCACATGTTTAAAAACTCACACACAACTCATGCAGTATAATCCAAGTCTCATTTATGCAGCCACATGCTCAATACTTCCCAAACAAACAGCCCTGTGCGACCAGGAACTGGACTGAAGGTCAGACTCCATTAACAAAAACAGTAATTTTACCTCACTCAACACTGAAGCTGCTGACCTACTGCTGTCTGTCGTTTTTAACTAAGCCATTTATGCATTTCCCCAAAATGTTTCTGCAGCTGACCAATAGGAAGCTACAGTGGATCCAAAGAAGAGTATTATTATTAGTATTAGTATTATAGTTCATATTATTTTGCTGTTGTTGAACGTGGACCCCTTTTATTGCAATTCATCAAGAATTTTCTCAATTTTTAGATTATTTGTTGAGCGTGGAGGCGTGCAAGGAAAACAAGGTTTTCTTTATAGGGTGACTAATTTATATAGAATGTTCTGTAGAGGGGTAAAGTATTCCTTTAATGTTATTAATTATTCATTCATTCATTCATTCATTTTTTAAGCTAGGCTACGCCAAAAGGGTGCCTGTGAAAGAGGTCTTTCACATGCTGTCGTTGAGGCTGCTGTCCTCCGCTCCACCAGAGGGAGACAAACACGGGAGTAGCCGCTAAGAACGTCACCACAACATCCGCTTTGAGGCTCCTGAGCCAAGTCGTGTCCTCACCAAGCTGTCAGAGATGACAGTGTCAAAGTTACCGGCTGCTGCTCTTTCTTTAAAACAGGTAAATACATACAACACTAGAAGGAGAGTGTGTATCACTAACAGCTGGACTGGTTGACTATAGTAACCACACGGTATCATGCTAGCGGTGTTAGCTTGTTGGCTAACGCTCCATCTGTGTAGAGCTGTTAGCTAAATATCTAGAGTTTTGAAGGCTCTGTTTTTGTATCTTATATCTTTTTTATATAATTCAAGGGAGACTTGTGTCCATTTGCAGCTCTGTCTGGTGTACAGTGAAGTTATCCGCTGTTTACTGGCAGAAACTAAGCTAGGACTGTGCGGGTTAGCAAACTATGTGTGTGTTATTAAATGTATGCATAACGTTAGTAGAGAAACAAATTCTCCAGACAAAGTTAAAACATACATGTCATTTATACATCATTTTGTCAAAATTGCCATTATGAATGTGGAATGTGTGGCTAGCCAGCCTGAGAGACAGCTTACTCCGAAGTTTAGTTTAGTCAGTGCACTGCGCTGGACCTTTAAATGCACTGGACACCACAGAGGTCATTTCTACTGGTGGAAGAGTCTTTGCTCTAAACAAGGTAAAATGATATTGCAATATTCTGGTTATTCTTGACTCACTCAAGCCAGACCTTTCCTAATAAACCCTGCTTTTCCAGGACTTCATTGTCCTGGTTTCATCATATGAGACACTTCTTTGTGAGAAATACAGTCTGATACCATGATAGGAGAGAGTGATGTGTCAGTCCATGTGCAGTAGGTATGAAAGATGGAGTTGATAATAATAATAAGCTTTATTTGTATAGCACCTTTCCAAACAAAGTTACAAGGTGCTTTACAACAGCAGAATAAAAAGGCAGAATCCAATAAAATGACAATAATATAAAAACATTAAAGGAACATAAAAAACAATAAAACATTAGAAAATAGAAAACATTAGACATTATTAGAGTATATTATTAGATGACAACAGCAATTAAGTAAAAGTACATTTAAAAAAGTGTGTTTTTAAGAGAGATTTAAAAGAGGACAGAGATGTGGCTCGCCTGATCTCATCAGGCAGGTCGATCCAGAGAAAAGGGGCCCTGATAGCAAAGGCCCGGTCACCCTTGGATTTCAATCTAGATCTTGGAATCTCTAATAGGGACCCACAGGAGGATCTCAGGCTACGCCTTGGCTCATATGGGACTAAGCAGTCTTTGATGTACTCAGGGGCCAGTCCCATCCGGGCCTTAAAAGTGATCATTAAAATCTTAAAATCAATTCTAAAACGCACAGGTAGCCAGTGTAATGAAGCTAAAATCAGGGTTATGTGAACTCTTTTGTTTGAATTAGTGAGGAGTCTGGCGGCAGAATTTTAAATAAGCTGAAGTCTGGAAAGATTATGTTTACTTAGGCAGGAGTAGAGTGAGTTACAGTAATCTAAACGGGATGTGATGAGTGCATGAATGACAATTTCCAGGTTCTTGGGAGACAGAAAGGAACGGATTTTGGAGATTCTGCGTAGTTGGACAGTTGTTTTAACATGCTGATTAAAGTTGAGATTACTATCAAAAATGATGCCAAGATTTCTGCAGCTAGGGGTGATGCTGGTGGAGGATAAGCTAAGTTGCGGTGAGATGTGATTGTGTGTGGTGTCTGGGCCTATGATAATGACTTCGGATTTGTCTGGGTTCATGTTGATGGCAGTTGTATGTAACTGATGATCAGGCTTATTTGGAGTCATCAGTAATATCACTTAAAACTGAATATTCTCTGTATAAACATTAAATCATTAATAAATAAAATGTGTTTTTTACACTGTCATGTTGAGTCTAACTTGCTGATTCTTTGTCAGTTTTTACAGAGACAGAGGGTTTTGGGGATCTACAGAAACATGCTGAGGACCATACGGCAGGTACCAAGTGAGGCAGACAGGAAGTACCTCACAGACTGGGCAAGAGACGAGTTCAAGAGGAATAAGAACGCCACAAACCAGGTAAAGAGATAATATGATTGCTTTTGCCTTTCAACCACATAGTTAGATTGCCTCGAACTGCATTAAGGGGAGCTGGGACACGAGAGCTGACGACATACTCAGAACAGCAGTATGTTAATCAGGACATTTAAAAGTGCCATGTTAAACCTTGCTATAGATGTGTTAAAGAGGTTTTGCTTCTCATCCAGAAAGATCATGGAGAGTATTGATTCTGATACATAGTAATTGTTTCAATGACCAATACTTGGGTGCAAGTTAGTCTGGCTCACAGGATGTAGACTGTGGATATAAAGGCTGTCATTGGTCACTGACTTCCTGCAAGTGAAGTTACCATTTCAATCACCCTTGCTACTAATTTTGTATGGCCACAACTTCTGGACTAGGAACCTACACGCTTAAACGACTTTTAATGTTTTGCGCAGCGCTTTCTTTTGCAGGGAATCATCCATTTTAACACCAGTGCTCACCTGTCCACTAAAACAAGGTCCCTCCTGACACATTTTGCAAGAGCCCAAGATCATTCTGATTGGTTCGAAGAAATAAAAACAATCATTATTTACCTCACTGCAGAGTTATGATGGATTCAGTCAGGCCTTTCTCCAGGGCTCGCACAACGCAGTAGTCTTTAATCGCCTTTGAGCCTTGTTCGCCTGCAGGTAAACAGTCTTTGTAGAGGGGAAAAGAGGTGGAACACATTGGCCAAAATGCAGTGTCAGAACTCATCAGCTATTGTCTGATGACAATTTAGCTTTTTCTAAGCTATTTTTCAAATTCATCAGCATTCATATGCAGATATCTGTGTATAGATATCAGCAGAAATGTTGTCTGAACCTTTCTCAAGTCGATAAGTGAACTGTAAACAATGATTGATGCACTGAAGAGGAGGTCTCGGCTTGGATATCTGCTGACTAGCTCGAAGCCAGACTGTTTTTTTTCCCCTGAAAAGGCATGATACACCGTTCTCTCTGTTTGATTGGCAGGTACTTGTTGCCTTGGTTGCTTGGATTGGTTAGTTTCAAAAACCTTGCCCCCTGAAATACTGGCTGTTGTCCCCAAAAGCTCGTCATCGTCAGAGATAGCTAATGGCTTCAAAGACTGGCTGAGAACTAATTTAATTTGTGATTTAAACTAAATATGTGGACTTCTTAAATGGAACTTATGTAGAGACATTGTACTTATTTTCCCAGCTTCCCCTGCTCTCTTTATTAATGCTGTTTCTTATCATTTTTCATTCAGGATGCCATCCGTATGATGATCACACAAGCTAACAACCATCTAGAGGAGCTGCAGAAGTCTCTGGCGTTGGCCAAGAGTTAAACACAGTGAGCTGCTGTGCTCTCCGAGGAGACTCTGTGGGTGTTGACAGGAACCCTCTGATCAGGGTCGTGTCATTGTGAGTGACTGATGCAGAATGTATTGAAACTATTTTTTGTCTGGACGCTGTTTTTGAGGATGGATTAATGGAACGGACCTGAAGCCATCAACCTGTAAAACCTCCTGAGCTGCTGTTCTGCATACAGTGCTGAGGATTTGCTCCATGATGGTGGAAACTGATGAACCTGTGAGCTAACTGAGCCCATCTGCCAGACTTTAGTTTGTGCTGTACATTATATATATGTATATTGAATGTATTAAAGAGGAACTAATAAATCCACTGACAGATTCAAGATGATCATTTTTTTTTTAATACAAAATATGTTTTCTGTCATCATCACACAGAGTGCATTATTCATATCCACAGAGTTATCCATAAAACTAACCAACGTGTATGAGCACACAGTCACTACATCAAACATACAGCAGGCAGTAATACTGTAACACAACTCTGAGCTTTCTTCATGCAACTTGACACAATTCACCAGGACTGTTCTTTACTTTATTGGCAGTGCATTAGCTTACTGGAAGACATGATTATATGTAGTCAGCTGTTCGGGGTCATGACATGGTTTGTTTGGTGTTGATCAGGGCTGCAACTAATGATTACTGTTATTACTGATCAGTGGTTTGGTCTGTTAAGCAGCAAAGCCTCCTGGTTTAAAGAGAGAGGCTCAAAGAATAGCAATTCAGTGTGCTTTCAACCTTTTGTTGAACATAAAGAGCCATCTAGTGGGCTCAGAAAATAAAGAAAATGCTTCAGCTACTGATATTGATTTAAAAAAAAAACCTTCAGGGTTTATATACAGTGTGAGTTTAGCTACATTCTCATAGGTAAGCAGAAGGTTGCTCCTCTAACGGGGCTGATCTCAGCATGCAGATACCAACAAAAAGCTTATTGTACTGTAATTCTCTCCATCCACACAACTTCACTATGATCCAAGATGCAGATCAGCTAAACTTGCTGTTAATGACAGAATGCTCATGGTGGTACACAAATCAATATCTAGAGAATGGTTGGGCTTACAATGTGTGAACACACTGCACAGGGTTGTTGATTGTTAATGTGATGTAGTTAATCTATCCCATAAACGGCACATTAGATCAGTGTTTTAACACCTAGCTTTATATCTACTGCTTTATTTACAACACAGTGCACAACAGCTGCCCTTATTTCTACAGAAGTGTATGAACAGCTCTCAACAGATCAGTACAATGTTACCGTGACAACCAACAGCACAGGAATGTGGAGCGTTTTTAGTATTCCATTATATGATTGAGTGGCTCCAGGCCCCACAGCTTAATGACATAATGAATTCAGTTATCTCCTCAGTATGGCTGTGGTGTCCAGGAACACAATGTCTGTTTGTCATTTATGGATCATAAATCCAGATCATGCTGAGGCTGTTGAAAGGTAAACCCTCTGGTAGTGACAGATGAGGTGTGTGTTAGCAGTCATCACGTCTGGTAGTCCTCAGCATGCGCAGTTCATCCTCCAGGTAAGCGATCCTCTCGATCAGAGCGGCTCTGTCGGCCTGAGCCCTCTGATCGGCCTGCCAGCGAGCCTCCTGCACTTTCCTCTCGTACCAGCGCTCCATCTGCGTGGACACCGCCTCAAAGAAGTACTGCGTCACCTCCAGAGCGTGCATGTTGTCCCTCTCCTGAGCAAAGGAGGGTTCGCTGGGCTGCTCTCCAAAGACCTCCAGAGTCCGGACCCCTGTGGCCCCTCTGGACTTAGTCCTGCCCTGGGAATGCTTCTTGTGGTGCTTCCCTCTGTCCCGCCCTCGCTCCCTGTCTCTGAGCCCGGCTTCAGTCCTGCTGCTGCAGCGGCGCTCTGTGGCCGGAGACAGGCTGCTGGCTCTGTAATTCCTTTCCCCCTTTGCCCTGTGCTCTGCTATGTCCACCTCCTGCGGCTCCTGGTTCTTCCTTTGGGTGTCAGCACACATCACAGGACGCTCCTTCGGCCGAACCACCTGGACAGATGACAGCGGGCTTTTGGCTGCTGCAGGAGAGGTGACTTCAGCATTATGAGCTTTATCACCATCTGTTAATTAGAGATTTAATGAGCACATTCAATTACACACTCACCACTACACAGCAGATATTTATTCTTCAAACAGTCCTGCTAATTAGCATGCAATAACTCTGAATCATGAACAAGCTGCCGTGCACAGACTGAGTCAGAACTCAGTGTTTTTCTCCTGCAGCAATGTTATTCCTTCTATGTTAAGGTCATGACAGAAATAGTGAACCTATCGTCATGCAATGGTAATTTCATACGCCTGCAGAACTATCATCCTGAGAGGAGAAATGTGGTCTCATAGGTTACAGCTCAGAGCATTGTTTTTATCCAGTGCAGCAGGTTCCAGGTCAGAATAACATGTTAACTCTGGAAATTACAAGGGGGTCGAACTCAAAACAACAAAACTAATCTGCCTTTGTTTACTGTATTTGCAAAGTTGTTTCTTTGCATTTGTCAGATAATTTAAAAAATCCTCATATATTTAGTTTATGTTTGCTTGTTTTTGGTGGACTTATCAGTTAAATGTGAATAATCTCTGCAGGCACACAGCAGCTGTTGGTCGACAATTATCTGCAGTTGTTTTGACTGATGACAGTGTGTGGAACTTTGTGCCAGTTTGGAGGTCCAGGAGGGGGCGCTGTTGCCAGGAACATGAATCTGAATACAGCACGGCACTGTAATATAATATAATATAGAGACATGTTGCTCGTGTGTAAGTGTGTATGTCAGCATTAAATGCTGTACTGTGAATGTAATGTTGATCTAACATGGTGATATGGTGTGATCACTCTTAGTCAATGTGTCACAGGTTATGAATTATCATTGATGGTTTCTGACATATCATCATAGATTTGTTTTCATCTTTTTATAAACACTTGACCAATTTCAAAAATGTGACTACATGGCATTGCTACTGTGTGCAATTATCTGCTACTATTCAACTGCATATAAAATGTGATATAATTGTAGTACCTAGCACATACAGTATATGTTATTACTCTTTTTAAATATTGCATGCATCAGTCTTGTGTACTGGGCCAGAAAAAAGGTCATGAATGTGTGTGTTTCCAAAGAATACACTCAGACCTAAAACACACTGAGGGAATTACAACATCTGCCGGGCACACATTAGGAACTGTGTATAGATTACTTAATCGTGGCCTGTAAAATCAGTCTGATTTAGATTCTAATTTAATCATGGATGATTTTCAGTAATAAATCTAATGCTAATACTGTCTCTTACAAATTATCAATTGCCAGCATAACCTAAAAAATATCTGTTAGTCAGCGGTGTCAGTGGTGACTTTAATAGATAAACAACATCTAGTAAACAGGTGCAGACTCCCTTTATACATTTGTACTTTGAACAGAGGTCTGACTGTAGCTTCTATGTTACTGTTTTTCTTTTATGGTTTTCATTGTGCTGTTGTCTGGCTGTAACTTTTTGTATGCTGCTGTCTCGGCCAAGTCTCCCTTGTAAAAGAGATTGTTGATCTCAATGGAACTTACCCGGTTAAATATAGGTTAAATACAATAAATAAAAATTCATAAATAACCCACTACACTGCAGATCAGCCACTTTCTGGTTCAACAGTTTACTGAATGTTCATTTTGACCTATTAGCAATGTTGATAGTCGGATAATTTAGGCTTAACAGGCTATTACCTTCATTAATACTCTCAAATAAGTTTTGCTCCAGATAAATTATTATTTAATGGCCAAAAATGGCTCTTTCGATAGTAAATCTTGGGCTTATTGCTGTCTATTTTAGCATTAATTTGCAGCCTGGACCGCTGATGTTTGAAATAAACTGAAATAAGTTGAGATAAATAAATATTTGATGACTCAGTGTCTCTGTGTGATGAAAATGTTCACACTGACACATTTGGTTGTGTGAGCTGTTTGCTGAGTTGTTACCTGGAGAGCTCTCCACATGAACCACAAAGTAGTGGTTTGCTGAGCTGCCCTCTGCCACACTGGCCTCGCCCCGACTGGAGTCCAGGAGGGCAGGGCTGTTGTGGAGATCCAGGCACTGGGAGCTGCCTTCCTGGCCAGAGGGCAGCACAGTGAGGCCGGCTCCATCGGCTTCATTCAGGCCCTCTGCAGCAGAGGAGGAGCGCTGCAGCTTGGTGCTGCCGGGCTCTCCTGTGAAGCGAAGATCTATGTTCTGCAGTTTGGACATACACCAGCTCTTCAGCTCACTGACCAGGGACGCCTGCTTGAAGAGCAGATACAACCACACACAAGAGGTTACATTGGTTTACATCACATTTAATGGGAGGAACAATTGCTGACAAAAGTTTAAGTTTAAATGTTTGGGTAAAGCTTATCCTTTAATATGTTGACATTATCAGTTACACCATTTGGGATGTTGTTCTTAAAAATCTACAGTGAGTTGAAGAAGGAAACATCCATCTCTGTTTGCAGCAGAGCAGAGAGAAAGGCGTTTTTAAAAGTCTCTGTGTTCAGCTCTCAGTACTTTTGTAGCTTAGAAGTTGTGTGAAGTTGCTACTAAAAAAATATTTAGAACTCTGGCACATGTAAAACCTAAATTTTACTCAGAGCAGCTTTACAAATACCAGATTATTTTTATCCAACATAAACAGCAACCTTCAGCCCTGATGACAACATATAGGCTCTACTTTAGTTACTTGAATTTCTACTTGTCTTATTTGATGTAGCAGTAAACACGAGATATAGATCTGTCTGTCCCAACGCCTCAGTGATGACCTCATCAGCTGCAGAGCCTGTGATGGTTGTCAGTGTTACCTGTCTCTTCTCTGCTTCCAGCCTCTCCTGCAGAGCCCGCTGCTCGATCCTCTGCAGACACTCGCTCCTTTCTGCGGACACTCTCTCCACTGTCATCTTATCCAGAGCTCGCATCTGATGGCAAAACCACAAGTCACACACATCAAGAGTGCAACCAGAAATATGTCAGGAGGAATAACAGCAGCTGAGAGGCTTTTCTGTCTTTAAGACCCTTTCCAGTGAATTTCAAGTTTTTATCCTTATTAACATGTCCACATATTTTTTGTATGATACACGATAAACCATCAAGCAAAATAAGCCATCAATGCCATGGCTGAACATTTCCGACTTGGAGGTGCAGTGTACTAATGATGGTATCAAGAACGCAGATTCAGACTTCCTGGGGTTGTTCTGTCACAAACTTAAAAGTCTAATCCTCTCAACATGAAAGGCGGGGCTTTCCATAACACTGGCAAAACAAGGAAAAGCAAAGTGTGGCTTTGTGACAGCATTTTGCAAAATAAGATTCCCTTTCACTACAAATTCTCAGAGCTGGCGATTGGGATCAACATCAGCAACACATTATTAGCCGTTTGGCAACGTAGTCAAGCTGAAAGCTCATGTTATCCGTTACTGTTTATAAGCAGAGGTTTGTGTGTTTAATGAGCAGAGTGAAGGTGAGCAGGAGCTGCAGGCCAGTGGCTAAGGAGCTTGTTTGCATATTTACAGATCCGCACATACTAAATAAGGCAAAGGTGTAGTTACTTCAAAGCTATTTTAAAGCATGAGGGGATTTTTTTTTCACAGAAAACAATAAGCAGTGAGTTTTTAGGGGTTTAATCAATGCCAGGAGAGGAACTTTAAAGTTGTTCATATTTCCTATGATTGTATTGTATTTTTATTCCACTTTTTCAGACAATGGTGTTCTTCCAACTCTCTGTCAACAGTTTGTGTTTGTCCCTTTCCTGTTTCAACATGCACATATACACACACACTGTAGCCAGCTCCATACAGAAATGGCTTTTCTAGTTTGGTATGGAAGAACTTGAGGTGCCTGCACAGACCGCTGACCATACACTGTATAAAATAGTGGATGTAGCCACCATAACTTCACCCATTGGTTTGTGGACTCTATTTTAGAGCCAGAACTGAGCCACAGAGACCACAACTTTTTTGTACCAGGCTGTACACATGTTGATTTCTGCTGTTAGGTTGGGCATTTTAACATGGGGGACTATGAGCTCTTGGAGCCAGCCTCAAGTAGCCACTCAAGAAACTGCAGTTTTTGGCACTTCCGCATTAGCTTTATTTTTCAGCTGTTGAGGTTGCCCGTTTCTTACCTTTACACCTTTGGGATGATCTAGAACACTGACTGAGAGCCACACCTCATTACCCAGCACCAGTGTTGGACCTAACTAATGCTCCTGCGGCTGAATGGGAACAAATCCCTGCAGCCAGATGGAGTTGTTATAGCAGCAGACCGATGCCCATGGTTTGGGAATAATAATTCAACTATGATGCGCAGAATGCTTGATGACATCTGTGCCTTATACTGAACTACTGGTTGCATGACTATGACAGCCTCATTACAGCACACAGTGTTTTGTCAGTCAGCTGTAGAGTAAACATCTTTTTGTCTTGCAGTCCCTTGGTCAAAGAATTTCTTAACTTCCAATGTTCCTCTCTTGTGTTTACCTTTGGGCCTACATACCTGATTCTGTTGTTGCTCTGATCGTGGTGATTATGCATTCCTGACTACATCCACTGTTGTATTTTGTCAGGCAGCAGTGGTGCTCAGAGTCCATGCATCAATGACTGTGTGCTATCTGATAGAGGCTTTGTACCTTGTGCATGTATTACGCACAAGGTGGCTCCAGGGGAAATGAAGCAAAGCCCAGTTACTGTAGTGTTCCAGCTGGTCACCTACACGGGAATGGAACCCCTAACCCCCACTATGTTAGAGCCATGCTGTATCTGTTCAGATAGTTAGCAGATAAACAGCGATACAATGAGAAGACTTGTGTTTCTGCTCAGATTCAGACTGTATGGAGCTGGATATTTCAACTCAACAACTCTACCCCTTTAGATTCATTTGACAGCTACTGCAGAATGATATAATGTTCCTGTGCTCAGGTGCTATAACCAAAAAACTAAACAAAAACTTTGTCCACTGGATGCTGCTGCATTGCATTCTAGTGGTTCTGTCGCAGTTCCAAGTGGAAGCAGACATACAGAATTTACAATATTGTAAAGTCATTTAAACAGATGTTTCTAAACTATTTATCCAGTTTATCAATAATTTGAAAATTTCTGGATGCTGCATTCACCGTGGAATATTTCCGCTACTTTCTGCATCAATTGTCTTGTGTTGTTTTTAACACTGAATGATGAAGCCAAAGACAATGTTGTACAACATGAACAATAAAGCGCCTAACAAACTGTATGCCTAACTAACTTTAGAAGTATTTCACATTTCTGAGATGCAAGCTGTTCTGACGAAAATAGACTGTGTGATCCACAAACTTTGCTCTGCTTGTATGTGGGCAGTTTAAACCAAAACAAAAAATTAAAAAGTCAACTTTTATGTTATGATAGCATGTGTTTGTTACCTGATGTTTGTTCTTGCGGTCCAGTTGGCCCATCTTGCTGTTCATCAGATCTTGGACGGTGTGGATTTCAGTCTTCATCTCCTCCTTTGTGGCCTCCAGCTGGTTCTCCAGTTTACTGATGAGAGGTTCACAGCGGCAGCCGTTTAGAGGAGCCTGCAACACATCGCAAACAATCAACAGAGCAGCACCAACAGTGAACGTGTCTAAAACAAACTCCAGCTGTCAAGTCTTTTAAACAAACTTGTTATGCGATTGTCAAAATGTGTTTTGTATTATATTTACTGTGGGGCTGCAGTGAGACTTTGAATTGAAATGACAGACAAGGGGCAGCACTAAATGTAGCTTGGGTTCATACAAAATGTATTTTAGGATGTTTCTCTGTAGGAGCAACATGTGGGAGGAGGGGAATGGGAATATATAAGGATGTGACATTGAGAATGAGTTTATAGAACACATAATTACATGAATAATAATGTCTGGAGTGTTGGTGCCCTTACCTGCATGATCTTGCCATCCTTGCCGCGGTACAGAGTGTACAGCTGATAGGCTTTATAGTTATGTGGAGGGACAGATGCATGAAGGGGAGCTCCTCGCAGTTTGCACTTCTTCTTGTGAAAGCCTTCGCTGTGCCTGGTCTCTTTGCGGCGGAGAGGGTCAGACAAAGACGGCTGAAACATCAACAGCACCTGAGGTTATTCCATCTTGTACATCTTAAATAGCAATTTAGGGAGGGTGCCACTAATTGTCTTCCCCTGTGCACAACCTTGACTAACAACAGTTAGCTTCTCTATTCCTGAATGAACATCAGTTTGGATTGGAGTGTGTTTATCGAACTGAGATGGCTTCAGGGACCTACTTTGTCCTTCTGCTTCCTGTTCTTTCCCCTCCTGGTGTTTGACTCGGTCACCTCAGCGTGTCTGCAGGCAGCTCGGTCACTGCTCTGGGTGTCATCTGCAGCAGAAGCACTGTCCTGCAGGGAACAGGGAGAATACAGGTGATGAATGTCCACTAGATTCCTCCTTATGTTATTGTGGCTTGTTTCTAAATGTTTCAATCATTCACATAAGTGAATTTATTAAAATCACTAATACCCTGCTGATTTTTCCATCATTATTTACTCTGTGTTTAACCTCTTCAACCACAGACCATCAAAAGGTAGGTCAATACAAACATGTGCTATACAGTCAAACTTTTCAAACCCTTGACTGTAAAATTCTAATGGAGATGCAAAATTTCCAAAGAATTTGGAAATGTGTTTCCAGTTATGCCAAAATATTTCCATTTGATGAATAGTGTAGCCATTTAATTAAAGAAAGCATAAACCTTGGTTCTGGAAATCTCACTTGGTGTACATGGCATATAGTCAGACAGTGTGAGATAAGATGATTTTTCCAACCTCTTAGCTGCTTACGGAGAAGTATAGAGCGAGGACAAAACTGGATGTAGTCAAAACCCTTATTTGAAGGTTTATGAGTCATTTTAAAATACACATATATTGACGATTAACACAAGTTTTTTCACCCTTTTTTACAAAACAGCACCACTGCATTAATCATATATGACATTACCAATGTCATCCATACTGACTTTCTTCAGTTGTTCCCTTCCTCCTAACTCACAAGTGTCTCATGATGTATGCTTTTACCTAAAGTTTTTACACGACAATTTATGATTGCTTTGACACAGCAATCCAGTTTTTACCTTACAGAGCAGCATCTCATCTCTGGGAACAGACTGAGCTCTGCCCTCTGCCTTGAGCTTGTCTCTCCTCTTCCTCACACTCCTGCCCCGCACAAAACTCTGCACCTGAACACACGCACGCACGCATGCACACACGCACACACGCACACACACACACACACACAGGAATGACAGAAATCACAACTTAAATCATTATGTGAGTTTAATAAATTAAAAATGAAAGCAGACCATTAATCCCAGAGGCACTAAACATGTATCTGTTTTATGTACACCTGAGGTCATAAATAACTAGAGCTCACTGTTTTTACAGGTTTCAACAAGAAGTTATTGGTTTTTAAAAAGAAGATTGGATGTCCCTAAGGCTTGATGCAGTTGACAGTATTATTTTTCATATCTGTATTTTACTTTTGATCACTTATTATTTTTTATTCTTTTACAAACGTCTTTACTTTCTTTACTAAATTCTATAATCTTTTTAAAATAAAAACTGTGAGAAAAGGAACGCTACAGATTCCAACAGTCTAGCTAAGCTTTCTCTAATGATTAGATCTAATGATCTAAGTGATGTGTCTTGGTGAATGAGGTGGTCTAAACTCTTCTGTGCTGAGAACAGCTACACTTGCATGGAAAATGCTTTTAGCCCCTTTCCAGATCCAGAAAGAACCATGAATCGATCTGAGAGGGAAAAAAAACACCTGATCATGAAATCTTTACAATCTGTAAACACCAGTCAAGTTTCTCCTACAGATTACATCCATGTCTATGAAAACATGGATGCTTCACACACATCTTCTACCCCCTGACAGCACAGAAGATATATACAATCAGCACAGTTTTTAAGGTGGACACCCAAGATGAGTGTCAGCAATTAAGTATCTGACGAAATATTTCCCCTTCTGTTCCTGAGATATGGTGTTGAGTAATGGCCAGAAAAGTATTTTATGCAGAACATTATGATGTCACAGTGAAGCTGATCTTTGACCTTTTGGATATAAAACGTCATCATTGTTTTATCCTATCAGACATTTGTATGACGTTTTGTCATAATTAGCTTATGAATTCTTGAATTATGGCCAAAAACATATTTTTTGAGGTCACACTGACCTTGACCTTTGACCTTCAACCACAAAATTCTAATCAGTTTATTCTTCAGTCCAAGTGGATGTCTGCCTCAAATTTAAAGAAATTCCCTCAAGCTGTTCTTGACATATTGCATTCACTAGAATGAGATGGATGCAAGGTCATGGTGACCTTGACTTTGACCTCTGACCAACAAAATCCAATCAGTTCATCCTCAAATCCAAGTCAACCTTTTGTCAAAGTGGAAGAAATTCCATCAAGGTGTTTTTGAGATATTGTGTTTACGAGAATGAGACAAACAAGGTCACAGTGACCTTGGCCTTTGACCTATGACCACCAAAAACTAAAGAGTTCATCGTCACGTCATAGTGGACATTTTTGCCAAATTTGAAGGAAATTCCCTTACGCCGTTCCTGAGATATTGTGTTCACAAGGATGAGAGGGACAGACGGACAGATGGACAACCCATAAACATAGTGCCTCTGTCCACAGCTGGCGCTGGCGCAAAGGCATAAAAACAGATAGTGTGTATTATGAGCGCAAAAATGTCTATCTCAGTATGAGTTTTGTTTACAGCTGTCTGGACTGGTGAGACTGGTTTTACCTGGGGAGCTTTGGTCAGTAGAAGAGCCACATCTGGGTTGTTGTGCTCTCTGGCCTGGTCCAAAGCTGTTTGACCTGCCTACAGAAACACACACACACACACAGCTGATCAAGGACGGTCAGAACATGACTCAAACACACAGAGGCTGGGGCCTTTGTTTACCACAATGGCAAATTAGGTCTTTTGTTACTACTGATCAGAAATTCAAACTTCATTCAAACCCAACACTGAAAACAAGTTGAAACTTCAATTAAATTCCAACTGTTTTACCTTTATTGGACTATGGTGCTCTTTTTGAATGCACCTGACCAACGCCTGAAGAAGTTAGATACTATATGTCATGTGCTTTACGTTTTCAGGTAATTTCAGTGAGACTTTTACCTGGTTTAATAAAGGATCAAACAGCCGTTATCCCTAAATCAAGTTAATGCTGACACAACACATCCTTTGTGTTTACCTGTTCTCAATAAATTCAGTATTCAGTTTATTACATGTCTCTGTTGTTGTTAGTGATGGGATTAGTGCTTTGGAAATACATAATGCTCAACCTGCCATGTGAGCCTTTATCAGTATGGTCTGTATTCATTCTATCTTTGGAGACCTGGTCACAATTTAATTATCACTTTTTTGTCACTTTCCAGTAAAACTGTGATAGACAAGACTTAACACACACACACACAGCCAGTTTAAATGTCCATTTAAACATCAGAGAAATTAGGTGTTAGGAACTTCCTTTGCTTCTGCCAATGAGTAAAGTTGCTGAGTGCAGCTTTAAATAGATTTCAGGAGGCAGGGACAATGTGCTGCTGGAGGAATCTCTCAACAGCAGATTGGTACCATAAGAGAAATGTGTGCTGACTTGAAGATGAAGAAAGGCAGAGTGAGTGCACAAACACTTCATGTGAGCATTAATGATGTAGAAAGAGGCTGCAGGCGCTCACATTGTTGCAGATGTGGCTGTCTGCCCCTGCCTCCAGCAACAGACGTACTGTCTTCTTATGATTCAGAGCAGCAGCCACGTGTAGCGGTGTGTCCCCAGCCTGCGCGCGCGCACACACACACACACACACACGCGCGCGCGCACACACACACACACACACACACGCACACACACACACAGAAGATGGTGGTGTGAGAGTGGAGCCTTAATTTATGCAAAACTTCTAGGCATCTAATGCTTGTATGAACAATCTACATTGCATGATAACAGATTGGATCTAACAAAAAAATATTTACAAGAATATGGGCTGATGAATCAGTTAACAAGGGAAACTGGACAGAAATTGTGAATTTAAAAAACAACAGTCAATTTTATAAGCCAGATAACTGATTTCAACATTGGCAACAAATTTCCGATCAGTGCTCTCATGTCAAAGTGACAGGTGCTGTGCAAAACCCCCGACAGGACTTGCAGCAGGTATCTAGCTGGTGGTTTGTGATCATTTTGTGTCCAGTCAGAACTCACCAGGTTCTTCTCTGACACAGAGCAAAAGGCTCCCAGCAGGATGCGGATCACAGCCACGTGGTTGTAGCGTGCTGCCACATGCAGGCACGTATCCCCCGCCTGGAACACATATTTAGTGATTACCAATTTCATTTCAAAGTTAAGCATTCATGACACTTCAAAGAAGCACGACATGAAAATAAATTTTAGTTAGAAATAGATTTTAGTACTTTAGGCTGTTTATTTTAAAAGGTGCTGGAAAGGAAAGCACTGTGCTAGCTATTAGTCATTTTAGGCATTACAGTCCAACTAAAATTGGTCAATTTGTTTTGCAGTCAAAAAACATGTCAATTAGACTTTTTATTTAGTGAAAAGACTCTTTGGGCATAGATCAGAAGTTCTCCTTCATCCTACAAGCCACTGAAACAGACGGCCAGTGTACATGTCTGATAGACAGCTCAGCTTACAGGGGCACTAAGACACACACTGATGAAAAAAAACAAGTCTTGATGGTAACTGTAGCCTACCAGCTAAAAACAGTGTTTTGTTAGCACTAGCACTGATGATTAAAGCACCATTTAGCATCTTAACTGACCAGTGTCGACATGTGCAGATGAGTTTTTTAGCTGCTCAGGATCTAAGACAGCTATCTAGCCTGCACACTGACATTAGCAGCACATTTTGCCTCATGGATGTTTACCAGTCTTCTCCTTAAATGATGATGACTGCTCTGAATGATATCTCTCACAGAAAGACACAATACAATTTCTGCCTGTGACAGACCTTGATTGTAGCCTACAGTCTGATCCGCTGAGTAATTGGTAGTCTACTCCTTGATCTGACATTTTCAGCTTGATTTAGTTTCTACAGTTGTCAAGACTCCATCTATTTACGCTGGCATGGAAATATTGATCTCTGATAATCATTTTAAGTAGTCCAATAAAAGCAAACAACCTTTTGTTTTCTCGTTACAATGGGTTGATTATCTCGTTGTCTTGAGCTAACAAAGACTGTTTTCTCGAGACAAGGAAAAACAACCTGTTGTTTTCTTTAGGAAACAGGTTATTTATCATGATGCTTCAATAAAACAAGGTTTGTTTTCTTGAGATAATGAAACAACTTTTGATTTAGGGATAACATCATTAAAGAAATAATTGCTAGCACAGCCACGCTAAGCTTCCTTAGATAACTGATTATTTAAATCAAATACATATTGTGAAAAAATTCAGATGCTTCTCTCTTTTTTCATGCCAATTTAATATGGATTATGGATTGCATGGCCTGGTCAGACAAATTAACCTGAAAATAAGTTTCTGGGCTATTGCAGTGGGAGTATATGATTATGAACATTTAATGAATAAAAAAGATAAGAACATAACTGATAGATCGACCAGCATCGGCAACACTTGTTAGTTTCAGCCCAAAATCCTTTGAGATTAATGCATCAATAACCTAACACTAGTAAGACAAATTATTTCAATTATGCCCACTTTTACCGAACCACAGGGTTTGAGTGAATTTCTTCCAGTGACTGTCTGAGACCTAGTCCTGCCATCAACAGTTTAATCAAATATTGAAGGTTCCTCACTGAGAGTTAGCACAAGCAAAGTTTTCAACAATCAGTTCTCAGAGAGCATCTGAGGACAGCTGTTGTTCAAACACATCACCGCCAACCTCCTCCTGCATTTGTGTCGTGCTGACTGACAACAGTTTCCCCCATGAGGCTGCAGATTACGTTTGAAGTGCAAATGTACCATGTAGTGTTTCATAATTAAGCGACTACTGTGCCATGTTAACAGCACTGTGACGGCAGTGCACTGCAGAGAGACAGAGCAGTCATCCTGGATTTCAAAGCCGCTGGATAATAGAAAGCAGGTAAATGTGAGCAGGTGAAGAAGAAGTCAAGATACAAGTTTGTTTTCAAAGAGCATTTTGCATGAAGGAACAGCGAAGAAGAAGAAACAGAGGGAGACTAGGTAATGAAAAATATATTGAGAGATGAAGTATAAAAACAAGAAGGATCTAAAATTAAGGAATTAGTAAGTTCACTTACTGGATGTAACACCAATAATCAATCAAAGGAGCTAGACAGCTAAAAGTCCCACTTGTTTAAGGAAACTTCATACTTAAAGCGGCACTGATTGATTTTTTGGCTAGCTGGGGGCAGCGCAACAAGCTGCAAACACATTATCTGACATATACAGTTTGGTAGGGTAAATGCAAGCAGTTACCTATTGACAAATCTAGCAGACAAGGAGCAGTGGGGTCGTATATCTGTCCACCAGTCTAGGTCCAGCACTGACTGCCTTCAGATCTGCTCTAATCTCTCCCATAATTCTTTTAGAATTTTTTTAGCAGCTCTTTGCCACTACTGGAAACCAGGTTGATGAGAGCAGTGAGAGTGAACCAAAACAGTAAAACTGTGGGCCAGAACTCAAAGCTCAAAAGCCCTGTTTCCAACAAACGCTTTTGGTATAACATAAGACATAAGAATCAAAACCAGCAAAAACTCAGCCTTGTGCAAGTCCACTACTGACGAGTCAGCAGACTGCAGTGTTTCTAGCTCCACCTTTTACGTAGTACCAGATCTGTGTGCTAGGTACCCCTACAAAGGGGTGACCAAAAATAGGGACGGTAAAGAATGGTTCCATTGGTACCATCCACAACTTTTCACAGTGGAAACCAAAAAAAAAACGTACCAAATTGAACTGAACCATACCAAACTGCTTGGTGGAAATGGGGTTAAGGAGGCATAAAAGCTCTGTAGGGCTGAGGGGGACTGCTGAGTCTGGATTTGACATTACGAGTGACACCTTTCACATTGTACACAGTCTTGTTTTCTCTGGTTAATATAAAAGTAACTAATATTGCAGCTTTAATGGAAGTTCTATAGTGATTATAGAAAGCCGGTAAATGTGAGCAAGTGAGAGAGAAGTCAAGAGGCAGGGTACACAGTGGACAGGTTGCCAAATTGTTAATTTGAGGACATGCATTTAACAAATAATGTTATTTTGCATCACATGCAATTTTTCTCTGAGTGTAGTTGTCACACCACTATACTAAGTTGAGCAGACATAACATTAACAACACTGTGTCAATGATAACACAAGAATGATCTCAATAGAGATGTCAAAAGCCCTGTTGTCTGAGACAGGGACACTGGTGCTCCTAGGTAATTTTCTAGCATCAACAGATTCACAGGAGACAGACTGGTCTGAATAACTGATGGCTGTTTCTGCATCTGTCTCATTAACTCTGGCAGGTGCTTCCAGCAGCAGCACCCACCGGAGCCCTGCTGGAGACTTACATGGTTCTTACTGTCAGGCCTGGAGCCTCCCAGGAGCAGAATCTTGGAGCTTTGAGCGTGACCGTTCTGACACGCAAGGTGGAGAGCTGTGTTTCCTGCCTGTAAACAGAGTGTTTTTTGCTGTCAAACATGTCATTTATAATGTATTCTTATTATCTTATTCAGGTTAACAGTGTTGGGATACTTTGGTACCACACCCTTCTTCTGATAACCGTGCTACTGCAGCAAACTGAACAGATTTCTACTTTTAAAAGTTACATAGTCTTGCTTTAAATGACTTATTCTGAATAGTTTTTGCTGTATAGCACAATGGCCTTTTTTGCTAGTGAACTTCTCGCAGAAATAACAGAAGCATTTAATCACCACTGAATGAATGATTATTGGAATACAGTTTAAACAAACACGTTTTAGTACTGTGGTGGAGTCCAATGCAGAATCACCTTGTTTTTAGCGTGAGCATTGGCTCCAGCCTTCACCAACAGTTTGACAGACTGGCTGAAGCCGTGCCAGGACACCTCATGGAGAGCTGTGTTGCCATCCTGAAAGGAAAAGAACAAAAAGCCACATTAACAACATCCACACTGATGCACTTCACTTTATGCCAGCACAAATCTTCAAGATACTTTCATTTATCAAGATCCTCTTCCTTCATAACTCTACAATTTAGGTAAGCCATGAACAATTATGTCTCGTTTCCACTGCATGGTTCAACTCAACTCAATACCCTTTGTGACACCTGTTCACATTTCCAATGTCTTTTTTCGACTACAGTTTTATGGATAAAAAAGACACAAAATTTGTAATTCCTTGTCATGAACCATCAATGAATACTCAAATCCATCCTCAAATGTGACACTTTTTAATTCACAAAGACTTGAGTCGCTGTGTAGTATGCGACATGGCGTTTCTCGCTATCACTGTGGCCGAGTCAAACTACAGACCTCATGACAACAAACAGTCCGTTATTCCTACAATCAATCTCCACGTTTTACAGACCTATGTAGGAGTATGATAAATATTATGTTGGGATAATATATGAAAAGACAGAGTGAACATTCATAGTATCAGCCAGCTGTAAAGGATTTATGGTGAAAGGGCTTTATTAAATCATGCATGGTAATACTGGCTGGATTTTGTACACCAGTAAGTATCTAAAATAGACCATTAATGCACTGCATCTCAGCAGAGTTTTGTTTCATTTCTCTTTCCACCGTGAGTGTAAACACACTACTCTGCCTTTAACGAGGGAATGAGGCTAAGCAGATTACAGGCACACTGGTTTCTCTATGATTATCAGATGCTTTAATGCAGTCATTATGATGGCTTTGAAATTCCCCTTTCTCCAACTGACTGTTAAAGAAGTGCCATGAGAGTGTGTGTGTGTGTGTGTGTGTGTGTGTGTGTGTGTGTGTGTGTTTCAATCTTTTCATCTGCACCTTGTCCTGTCTGTCCAGTGCACACCCTTCCTGGATGAGAGCATTGATGACATCGCTGTTTCCCACCACGGCAGCCCGCTGTAACGCCGTCTGCTCTCCCTGAGAGAGACACACACAACACTGACTACAAATGTTGACAAGAAACACTCAGCAACAGGGCAAGAAAACCTGCATCCATCCACCGAAAAACTATTCCATCATGTCAAAATCTTAGAGCCCCAGTTTGGTGTTTTACTTGACTTTATGCTTCTGCTGGCTCATTTTCATACCATGAAGATCCATAAATCTTATTCAAAACTGTATTATTTTCATAATTAATTGACTTTAAGTTAAAAAAGCTCTCACTTATAAGAGGTAACACTCTTTTGAAAGAATAGTTTACTTTGGGGGTAGTTTGGGTTATTCCTGCTTACTTTGAGTGGCCAAACACATTAACAGCTCCCATGTTTCTGTCAGTGCGTGCGTTTTAATTTGGTTTAGCTAAATTACTACATTTTAAAGGAGTCAACAGTACAAGTAGGCCTGCTAAAAAAATACACCCTTGAGCCTTTCCACAGATCAACAGCTTTACAAAGTCTCAATTTACAATTAAAGCCAGACAACATTTTGGGAAATACTCGTTTGCTTACTTGCTCTTTCTGACATTAAAAATAGAAATCAGTGGTCGTTTCCAACCAAATGTAAGTCAAAGAGTTTTCAGAAAATCAGCAAAAGGAAATGCAAGAAATGTGTTTCCAAAAAATCATATCAGTTGTGCAAATCCAAAAACTTTGCAAGGCAGGTGTGGGAATTTTAAAAGAAAGCGATAAAACAGGAAGAAGGGTCTACACGCTGTGGCTCCCTTAAGCACAATTTATTAGCGAATCTGCAAGTAAGGCTATCTGTTTCCCCCTGCCTCCAGTTTTTATGCTAAGCTAAGCTAAGCAGGTCCTGGTCCCAACTTCGTATATAACAAATCTCAGCTTTACTTTTATCTGCTAATCCCACTTTTGGAAACAAAGCAAACAGATGTATTTTCTAAAATGTTGAACTATTACTTTAAAGAGACAGTTTGTTTATTGGGAATTTAGTTACGTTTGTTGTTTTTTTCTTTTTTCATTAGGTTAGAACAAACTACTGAAGCCTTTCCTTCATGTCTCTGTATGCAGTTTAAAGGTATGACCAGTGAAATTAGCCTTGCTTTGCTTGGAACCAACAGTGGCCTGCTCAAAATAAATGCAACTTTACACATTTATGAAGTCTATAATTTTACCGACTAATTAATATCATCCAACCATCAGTATCAGTTCCAAATGATGAGATCAAAGAACATTAATAATAAGCTAGAGAGTATAAAATATTAAACCATCCCTCCACTGAGCAGAGCTACTACTTCATCCCATTACCATCAATAAGTGTTCTATAAGAAGCTAATCTCACAATTCAACATATATTCAAAGTAGTACAAAATTCCCAAAGAACAAACTATCCCTTTAAGTGTTGACAGTTCTGTAAGCTGATTTTTGATAAGCACACCACGTATCCCTGAGCTCAGCAGGATTATTACTATTAGTGATGATGTTAACATGATCCCAATATGGCAGGTATACAAACCACAGCAGGTAATCTCTAATAGCTCTATTTGCTTATTAAAGCCCAGAGTGGTTTGTATAACCACATGACAGCAACAGTGACATACAGACCCAGGAAAGAAGGAGAAGCACACATTTATGCTCAACCATAAGTGGAATTCTGTACACAGAGCAGATTAGTGGTGAGTGACATTTAGAGGCCAGGTTTGACATGAAAGATAGAGAAGATAGAGCAATGAATTCCATGAGAGATGGAGGAGCAAGAGGAGGGAGAAGATAAGAACTGAGCCGAGCGCAGCAGCAGCAGCAGCAGTGGAGGAGGAGAGGAGTTTGTTCAGGGAAGGAAGGAAGGGGGGACAGATTTCTGCTGGCTCAGTAGGAGCAGTTTTGGCTAACCTCCTTCACTCTCCCTGATCCTCCAGGCTCTTTCCCAGCCCTCCTCCACTGTCTTCTCTCCTCCTCCTCCTCCTCCTCCTCCTCCTCCTCCTCCTCCTGTTCCCTCCTGCTCCCTCCAGTCCAGGAGAATGTTCTGCAGCCTGTTGCGGAGCTCATTGACCACAGAGAGTGAATTTGGCAACGCCAGAGATCTGAGTTATCACTATCAGTGGGAAAGGGGGACTTGCATTCTGAGGGCAAACCCACAAGGGGGCAGTCCAGAGGGTCCCATTCAAGGCCACTAGAGGTCATTACACTACAATTATCTTTGAATTAAAAAAAGCCTAATGATTAAAAAATCTTTCCAGTAAAACAGAATTATTAGCAAAAAGATAAGCACTCCACTGGTAACCACCAATCAGGACTGCAGTGCAGGAGGTGGAAGTAGATGAAAAGTGGAAGCATGGGCGACGCTGCTGATAGACAGATGAATCTACTCACATCGTCTTGGATGTCCAGGTCACAGCCAGCTTTGAGCAGGATACGCACGACCTCAATATGGCCTTTGTAAGCAGCCAAGTGCAGGGGGCTTCTGCCATACTGTGGACACAAAACACACACAACTCAGCCCAGTGAACAAAACACAAGAGTGCACACAACATAAGCACGCAAACTCCCAGGAGAAGAAAAAAAACACCTCTGCTGTCCCACACACAGACTCCGGTGAGTCAGATATTTCTGCAGAGTCAGGAACCGTGGTCATAGCTGGTGGTATGACTGAAGACAATCTGCTATGGGGTACAATCCTTCTCAGTAATGAGCCAACAGAAAACAAACAAATACTTAATCCATGCTTTAAGAGAATAGTGCAGTCTGCACAGCTGTTCATGTTAGCTGAGTAGAGGATAAACATTGCATCCTGCCAATATGAGGATGTGTGGGCGGGCCCTGACGCAAAAAGGTTACTTAACTTTTGGGAGGTTTAAAGGATCACTTCATTTACAAAAAAAAAAAAAAAAAAAAAAAAAAGCAAAGAAATACATTTCATCTTTGCTTAAAGGTGAAACGTGTAAGATTTGTGGGGGATTTGGTGGCGTCAAGCTGTGCATTGCAACCAGCTGAAACTTATCCTGGCTAGAATTCTTTCAGTGTTCATTGTTCAGGAGGTTTTTACTGTGAGCTGAATTATCCAGAGAGGTCTATTCTTCTCCAAAACAAATGGACTATGTGATTAAAACTGGTAAAAATACTGAAAAAAGCGGTTTCACATTAGAAATCAGTGTGTCTCTGACGCTGTTTGGCAACACTGAATAAAGCAGTTGCACATTACATATCAATGTTTTTTGATGCTGTTTGGCCACCACCTCCAAATATGTGCTCATCTGTTTTCTCCAATAACTTAAGATCCAGACGTTCAGGAGGTTTTTAGCGGGAGTCAACCTTCCTCTCCAAAACAAACAGACCTGACAATTTAAACCAGTGAAAAACACTAAATAAAGCAGTTACAAACCAGTGTAACTCCGTTGCTGCTGTTTGCAGATGCGGTGGTTAACATAAAAACTCAAAAATGTGAATCACTCTGTCTGGAGCCAGTGTTTCGATTGTCCATTCTGGGCTACTGTAGAAACATAGAAGTGCAACATGGCAATCTCCATAAACAAGGACCTGCTATGTAGCTAAAAACAGCTCATTCTAAGGTACCGGAAATACAATGATTTCTTATTTCAAGTGATCATACACTAAAGAAAACAAACTTACAATACATTCTATTTGTGCTGATATCTATTCCCTTAAATCCTACACACTGGACCTTAAACTCTGATGGTATGCTGTCAAATGGTTTCAGTTTTATTTGCCCATGTCAGAGAGTTCTGCTTCCATCCAAATACAAGAGAAACAATTGTAATTTCACTGGTGTTACAAAATTAAATTACAGAAAATGTTAAAAGCGATATCTATTTTCTACCCAAGACATAGTTCCAATTCAAACTGCTTACAGTAAGGTCTGTAGTCTATCTGAATTATCTAGATGTAGAGAGGCATGCTGCTGTTAAATGTATAAATGTAATTTTCAATGCTATGAGCACAACTAACAAAAGTCCAGTCATCCCCACTGTATTGGAGTAGATGTATCAATCTTAAAGGGGAACACCACCTAAAATTAAGAATTCTAATGTTATTTCCATGGCCTAGAAAAGCTGATTCGACATTAGCAAATATGAGTTACTCTCTCTCAAAGCCAGAAACCAGAGAAGGAAGTCTCAAACTTTGGGTGTCATCATATATAAGTCTGGAGCTACTCCATAGACAATAAATGTGAGACTGATTTTGTGGAGCCACAGAATGTTTGTTTACTTTTTTTATACCCAAATGAGCTTTATTCTATTGTAGTGTTCTCACTTCTGAAACCGAAAATGCACCCATATAGACTGACTCAGTGACTTCGCGCAAACACTCCCAGGTAAATAACTGGCAATTGATTTCAACTGCAGATTGCGAAATCGGCAAACTTTCTGATTTCTGTTGTCATTTTCATCCATAACTGTAACTTTTTTTTAAAAAAATACAGTGAAACACAGTGGTCTGACTTATCTAGAATTTCTGCAATGCTTATTTTATGTCCTTTTGCTTTCTTAAAATCTTTGATAAACCAAATCTACTTGCATGAACACCAAAAAATGTGCTTCCGTGAACGGAGGCAACAGCAAAATGTATTTTAGACAAGGTAAAGCAGTAAACATACTCAAAATATACTGCACACCTGAACTGTTACTGATTTTTTTTAGGTGGGCCTTTTTGGCGGCTAAAAACTAACCAACCGAGGCAGCATTTGCTCAGCGCTGTTTTATTTTAGGTACATGAAGCGGGGGGTTTCTATCCAAAAGTTATGGTAAGTAAACAATTTTATTCTGTCTATATTGAGAACATTTCCCTGGGTGCTCTTAGTGTCACCTAGAACACTGGTTCCCAACTGGTCCGGCCTCGAGGTCCAAATTTCTCTTTAGTCATTAGTTCAAAGTCCACAAATTTTAATACATTCAGCATCATACTTGTGTTTGGCCATGTCGTTGAGCTAGTTTGCCGTCTCTGTCAGAAATTCACTGTACTCTAAAGTGTGTTTTTTTTTTACAAACTTGACACGTTCATGGGGCACTTGTGGTCCATTCACAATTTACCTGTGACCTACTTTTGGAATGTGACCCAGCAGTTGGGAACCACTGTTCTAAAATATTTTTTCCAATTTATTGTCTATGGAGCAGCTCCAGACTTTATAATTGATGACATCACAAATTTGGGTTGTTCATTTTACAAAATTTTTTAGACGGTCTTCGTCCATAGGAATATCACGTAAGAATCTTGAAAATGGACTTTCCCCTTTTACGACAAAGTTGCAGTTCTGTCTAAAAATTCAAAATGGTTCTAAAATTCACTTGTGAGTAAAAAAAAAAAATACTGATTGAAGTCCAAGTGTGATTTTAAGTATAGACTGTAGCAGCACCAACACGTTGTAAAATAAGGACTACAATTATGTACTTTGATGATTAATTTATTGTTTCAATGGTTTTTCAAGCATAAAAATGTTTCAGACATGGGTCCCGCTTCTCCAATGTAGGGATTATCTGTTTTTCCTTTGTTTTATATCATTGTAAACTGAATATTGGTCTGTCGGATATCTGAAGACGTCGTCTCGGGCACTGGGACACTATAATGGGCATTTTTCAACATTTTCAGACATTTTACAGATAGTAAGTGATTATCATTTACTCAAGAAATCTGCAAATTATTGGAGAATAGAACAATCATTTGTTGCAGGTCTAATCCTTTCTACCCATAATGCCCTCCCTCGAACACAGGATCAGCCAACAGCAGGCTTCTAAAGATTATGTGTCATAGCTGCATCACATCAATCATCACAGCTTCATGCACACCATGATTAATTCCTCTGCATGACTGCCCATCAGTTTTATCCAACATTATATATGCTTCAAAATACTAAATATAAGAAGACATTTCATATGTCATCTCCAGTTAAGTTGACAATATCAGTAAAATTAAATATACTGCCTGTATATAAAAATCTTTAATGAGTCAGAAAAGAGAGATGAAAAAATGTTTTTCTGTATATGAAATACATAGATGCTTAATAGTTACTGATTATATACATTAAACTGACATTAACATCCTGCCGTAATAGGAAACGCACCAGCAATGCAATTACCATTGGAATGCAGTGATGCTTCATAGGATGGTGATGTGACATAATGAACGTCAACAGCGGGAAATTCCTTCTTACAGTAGCCAGGAGATAATAGGTTAAAAGCTCTCAACACATCCTGACATCCTGAACATTACATCCAACATAATGAAATGCATTAAGAAGAACGACAGAGCAGGATGTCAGCATGCAGGTAACCATTCAAACGTCAAACACAAGATCCAGGTGATCCCTCTTAATCTGACATTTTTACTGAGTAAATACAGTTTAATTACAGATCAGGTGTGTATTCCCACACAACAGCACAAGGCGCATTACACCCCAGGTATTATCTCAGCATTTGGAGGTTCTTTGGAGGTGCTTTGTTTGGGTGCGGCTCGGCTCTGCTCTGTATTTATGTGGTCCTCAGATTGAGTTACACTGGGCAAGGCTTGGAGGGAAGCCACCAGCCAAGCTCAGGTAAACAGCTGGCGTCAGGCCAGCAGGGAGCCTCTGTTGTCTCCAGACTGACTGAGGGTCTGTTTGTGGCTCTGTGGGTTGGTTTTTCAGTGGCAGTCGGTATGTTGGGTGTCACTTTGCCTTGTAAGTTTGTCTCCAAATGCTCTTGTATAGTTTTTTCAAATCTATTTGCAATTTAGTTTTATATACCTCTTATTTGTTTATTTATCTTTTAAATTTCAATGTTTATCTGTACCCATTACTGCCTCTGTGCTGCTGCAACAGCTGAAATTCCCCACTAGGGATCAATAAAGGTTTATCTCGCCAAATCTTATCTTACATCTTAATGCTCTTAGTGTCGTGGAAATAATCCAAACTCAATTCTTCTGTTCTGTTTAACAGGGACCAGAAGTTTTTGCTAGCTAGTAAACATTGATGTAAACAATGCTGGATTTAAAGTGCTTCAGTAATCGGCTTTGCAAATGTTTTATGAGGGAAGGAAATGCATTCAACACATTTGTTACTCCAGGACACGCACAATGTGTTTTGTTGAGTTCTACTGAATGTAAATAGCCTATAGTTTTTGTTTGTTTACAAGAACAGTCCACAGAGCCCCTTAAAGAATATCCTCAATATTCATCAACATAGAAACTTTGTTTTTTGGGAAACTGTGTTTTTTGCCCTCAGATGGCTCTTAATACTGAAGTTCCACTGAGCCTTTGCCTTTGCAAATGTACTAGCTAGACAGCGGTGAAAATCAGAGTTGTAGCAAACTCAGACTTCTTCATCTTTGCAACTCAGAACAAAAACACACCACATAATTACCATATTCATCCAAGTCCTAAAGTTAACTGAAACACACTGACCTACAAAGGCTGATTAGAGTAAATCAGAGTAAACTCTCCTTCAGTTTTTTGCCAAAAGGCTTGCACCTTTGTCTTTTTAT